TACTATTTTTTATGATAAAATTACGACTTTGAAAGAAGAAGTTACAACGACATAGAAACATGAACGGAAAGACAAGATATGACATTGGAACATAGTTATGATTAACAACATATGTCCACTGCTAATCAATGAATAATGAAGTAACAGAGAGTGTTCAATAAAACTCTATGAAATATCACCAAGCAGCTAACACTTTTAGTTTGGTCTGTTGATAGAAACCTTTCCCTTGTCCTCCTCTACATAAAATTCACCAAAATATAGGCTCAAAAAAAAATAGTCAATGCCAAGTAATATAATCTGGAGCCCTGTTGTGGGAGTAAAACTCACAACCTGATGAATTTACCATGACTTTAGATGCAGCAGAGAGAGAGAGAGTGACCTGCCATTTTGGTGACCAAGGTTGAAACTTGAAAGAAGCTCTCCAAATTATATAGGCATGAGAAACCACTAAAAATTATAATATTTAAAAGTTAATATATATATATATATATTTATTTATTTATTTATATGTGGATCAAAATTCTAACTTATGATAATGTAAGGTATAATTTAAAATAATGTAATGATCGATCATAAAATATATAATTTTTTGGGTTAATCTCATTTTACACCCTGAAAGATAGTTCGAATCTCAATTTGCACCCTCAAAGAGTAAAAATCTCAATTTGCACCCTCAAATATAGAAATTTGTATCAATGTGTACCCACAAAGATAAAAAATCTCAATTTGCACCCTCAAAGATAGAAATTTGTATCAATGTGCACCCTCAAAGATAAAAAATCTCAATTTGCACCCTCAAAGATAGAAATTTATATCAATGTGCACCCCAAAGATAAAAATCTCAATTTGCACTCTCAAATATAGAAATTTGTATCATTATGCACCTAAAATTAAATTGATAAATTATACCTAGATCCTCTCATGTTTGTCACTTAATCATTTGAACCTCTTTACATTTAGAATATTACTTCTACATCTCATGACATTTATGCACGTACAACATGTAACTCATTTTCATTGATATCTGTTAATATAACTGTTAAAAAATATAATTTTATCCTAATAAAAAATTATAATTTCATATTACCCTTTTTTTATGGGTCCAATATATTCTAAAGTTCAAAATCAAGCTTACCATTTGAATGTCTAATAAAATATAGACATTTATATAATGTTTTTCATATTTTCCTTTTTATAAATATCTACATTCTATTAGACATTCAAATGGTAAGCTTGATTTTGAACTTTAGAGTATATCGAATCCACAAAATAAAGGGTAATATGAAATTATAATTTTTTATTAGGATAAAATCATATTTTTTAACCATTATATTAATAGATATCAACGAAAAGTGGTTATGTTTACACATGTACAAACGTCATGAGATGTAGGGGTAATATTCTAAATGTGAAGGGGCTCAAATGATTAAGTGACAAACATGAGGGGATCTGGGTATTATTTATCAATTTAGTTTTAGGTGCACATTAATACAGATTTCTATCTTTGAGGGTGCAAATTGAGATTTTTGATCTTTAGAGGTGTACATTGATACAAATTTCTATCTTTGAGGGTACAAATTGAGATTTTTGATCTTTGGGGGTGTACATTGATACAATTTTCTATCTTTGAGGGTACAAATTGAGATTTTTGATCTTTGGGGGTGTACATTGATACAATTTTCTATCTTTGAGGGTGCAAATTGAGATTTTTAATCTTTGAGGGTGTAAATTGAGATTCGAACGATCTTTCGGGGTGTAAAATGAGATTAACCCTAATTTTTAAAAAAAATCAAGTTATTTTTGTTAAAGGTCGTAAATAAAAAGTTTTAATTAATTGAGATAATTCATGATCAATTATAATATTTCATGATCAATCTTGAATTATTTTAATCAGTTATAATTTTTTCATTGGACTCTTAACAATAGTGAATTTTAATACGATACCAAATTTTTTTTAGTACCATAGCCTTATTTTTTTATGATGGGTCCAATTATAGTATTGAATATTTTTTCAATATTATACTTTTGCTTATGCCCAATTAAAATGTGAAGTGCGTAATTTTTTTTATTTTATTAATTAATTTTTTATTTTTACAATTAATAACAACCAGGGGCAGCTCAAGTAGATATAAGACTTGTCAATGAGATTTTTATTTTTTAATAATTTTATAATTTTTTTAAATTTCAAGTTTATTATTTTTATTTTTTGATATTCAAAATTACTAATTAAATTTTTATCCAAATTATGCTAGCATATTTTTCATTGATAGTATAACTACTAATCATAAAATATTTTGATAGGATTATAATCCATTTTTTCATTAATATTTGTATGTACTTCCCATTTGTTTGTTTTAAATGTTCTTCATTGAAATTGTGGTATTACACGACTATTTTATAATTTGTTTTTGTTCACAACTTTTACATAATTTTTTGTTATATTTTATTTGTTACGTATGAGTGACAACTTTATCAAAAAAAAAAATGAGATTAAATTATTTTTATATTGGTTTCTTTATTAGAATGAAGGGTAAATTTTATTTTGCCCCTGAAAGATACAAAAATTCTAAGTTTATCCCCTAAATAATTAATTTTCTATCATTGTCCCTCAAAAAAATAAAAACGTTGTAATGTGATCAATCGTCTTATGTCTGTTTGGTTGTCTGTCTATTTTGTGAATCCTAATTGATTGATTTGACTCAAAACAGATGGACAGACAAACAAAAATAAGATGGTGGACCACATTGTACAATTTTTATTTCTTTAATTAAGAAATATGAAAAAATTAATTATTCGAAGAGTAAATTGAGAATTTTTATAGATTTCATTGGGTAAAATGAGATTTTTCCTACAATGAATACTTTAGTTGTTCTTTTGTGCTTAAATGACAACAAATTCAAGTGGGATGAATTGGGTTTGGTTTTGTTTGTGGGGAGAGAGAGAGAGAGAGAGAGAGAGAATCCAACATAAAAACAATGACCCTCGTGTTCTGCATTGTCAATTTAAAATATTGTAAAACACTCGTTTTGAGTGCTTTGGTATCGTGGCTGTGGAAAAAATATTCATTGATATCACGTCAACATTTCTATATAATATCATCGATCAATAATAAATAAATGAACAAATTTCATATAAATTAATAAATATCCATTCATATAAATCAATAACTACCCAAATAAAATTCATTTTGTTCATTCAGAGTTTTATTATTAATTAATAATATCATGTCATCAATGCTGAAATACTATCTCCGTAATATTAAATATTTTCTCGTGGCTGTGGTGGTGGTGGGCAATACTTTCTCCATCAAGCCAAATTATTTTAATTGACATTAGTCCAAAATTTAAGTTAGCGAAGACAGATTCATATAGCGGATATCAAATGATTGAAACATAAGACTTAGTTTGATTAGTTGGTATTGTCCCAAAATTTCTAAGACATCCATTTTAATTGACATTCTCCATCAAGCCAAATTATTTTAATTGACATTGTTTCAAGATTTAAGATAGCCAAAACAGATTCATATAGCGGATCTTAAATGATTGAGACAATAAGACTCAGTTTGATTAGTTGGTATTGTCCCAAAATTTCTAAGACATCCATTTAATTGATATTCTCCATCAAGCCAAATTATTTTAATTAACATTGTTCCAAGATTTAAGTTAGCTAAGACAGATTCGGATCTCAAATGATTGGGATATAAGACCTTGTGTGATTAGTTGGTATTGTCCCAAAATTTCAAAGACATCCATTTTAATTGACATTCTCCATCAAGCCAAATTATTTTAATTGACATTGTTTCAAGATTTAAGATATGGAAGATAGATTCATATAGCAGATCTCAAATGATTGGGACAATAAGACTCAGTTTGATTAGTTGGTATTGTCCCAAAATTTCTAAGACATCCATTTTAATTGATATTCTCCATCAAGCCAAATTATTTTAATTAACATTGTTCCAAGATTTAAGTTAGCTAAGACAGATTCGGATCTCAAATGATTCGGATATAAGACCTAGTGTGATTAGTTGGTATTGTCCCAAAATTTCAAAGACATCCATTTTAATTGACATTCTCCATCAAGCCAAATTATTTTAATTGACATTGTTTCAAGATTTAAGATATCGAAGATAGATTCATATAGCAGATCTCAAATGATTGGGACAATAAGACTCAGTTTGATTAGTTGGTATTGTCCCAAAATTTCTAAGACATCCATTTTAATTGATATTCTCCATCAAGCCAAATTATTTTAATTAACATTGTTCCAAGATTTAAGTTAGCTAAGACAGACTCGGATCTCAAATGATTGAGATATAAGACCTAGTGTGATTAGTTGGTATTGTCCCAAAATTTCAAAGACATCCATTTTAATTGACATTCTCCATCAAGCCAAATTATTTTAATTGACATTGTTTCAAGATTTAAGTTAGCGAAGACAGATTCATATAGCGGATATCAAATGATTAAAACATAAGACTTAGTTTGATTAGTTGGTATTGTCCCAAAATTTCTAAGACATCCATTTTAATTGACATTCTTCATCAAGCCAAATTATTTTAATTGACATTGTTTCAAGATTTAAGATAGCGAAGATAGATTCATATAGAAGATCTCAAATGATTGGGACAATAAGACTTAGTTTGATTAGTTAGTATTGTCCCAAAATTTCTAAGACATCCATTTTAATTGATATTCTCTGTCAAGTCAAATTATTTTAATTGACATTGTTTCAAGATTTAAGTTAGCGAAAACAGATTCATATAACAGATTTGAAATGATTGAGACATAAGACCTAGTTTGATTAGTTAGTATTGTCCCAAAATTTCTAAGACATCCATTTTTTTTGGTCCAAAATATGGTTGACGTTTAATCTCCCCAAATGAACGTAAAATTATCCATCATCAACTCCATTATAGGCAAAACTTTTGACAACATGCAGCTTACAAATTTTATTTTAAAAAAAAAAAAAAAGGCAATTAAACACGTCATACCAACCATTGATCACTACTCACTACTAGGGTTTCCTCAGTTCTTGCAATGTTATCACAGACCACAGCATATATCAATAAGCCTGCTAAATGGAAACTGTTTGTTTTTAAGATCTCACATAACCTGGAAAGGGAATGTACCGACTATAATGATGGATCTTACTCTTATATCTCAGTTTAACTTCTATAACCAGCGCACCGAAAAAATTTAAGGCTATCAAGGAGAAAGAAGAACTTTACAGACATTTTAGGATCACAGAACGATTGAAAACGAAGAAGGCAAAAAGGTTCTCGATGAAGGCCATTCAACAGGCACATCCTCCTGAGGCTGGTTGGGACTGAGATCCACTAGGATTGCTAGACTTAAGATTGACGTCAACCATGTCTTCTTGCTTAGCCGAAGATAGTGTTTCCATTCCTGGCAAGGCTGCAGCAATCTTCCGGAATAATGCCTACAAAGATTATTTGTTATTGAATTCAGGACAATAGTACAATGTAATTGATAATGAAAATATCTGACTATACAGGTATAGTGAATAACAAACACAATCACTGATCTTACAATGACCAGTGAAGAGCAGCAGGGTACAAATTTTGAATAAGGAGGGCCAATTTAGACAAGAGGAAAATATAACTGTATAGTATATACTAAAGGGGAATAACCCAAATATGTTTAGAATTCCATGAAAATCAACAGACCAGACAAATGTTAGAAATTTAGCCGAGGGCATGTTCCCCCACACCTTTAATGTGGCACACAAGGGTGTAATGTTTGTAACTTTAGATCGGGTTGGTAGTGGTGCAGCTGGTGCTGTCATGGAACGTGATTGTTAAAGATCTCACTCTATATCTGTCTCCATACGTATGTGCATGGGTGTGGGAATATGTGCATAAAGTATGTATAGCCTAATTAGAGGAGGTAACAACAATGTGGTGGCATTTCTGAGTGGCGGGTGGAGGAGGACGAGGAGGTGGTGGTGGGTTGTCTAAGGGTAAATTGACATTCATTTTATTTTTCACTCATCAAACAATAACATTGTCAATTTCCGTTAAATTTGAGGGTAGGCCAGTACCAGAAGGAGCAATCTGAGCAATGTTAAAAAGTTCATAAGAAAATTTGCTGCAGTAGAAAGAACAGGGAGCAATTCAGACTTGACCCAACCACAGGAGTCTGGAGTGTGGGATATCTGAATAAAGACCTCATGTTTGGCTTTATATGCACAAAAAGACTGTTATTGTATCAAACCTACAACTTTGCCATTGTCAAATTCAGGTATGTTACCACTAAATAGACAATGATGCCTAATTGTGACATGGATCACATGGTAAATATCATTCAACAGACCCGTCATCTCTCACCTAACCCGAACCCACCAACACCCTAGAGAGAGAGAGAGACATATTGATGGATGGAGCCCCACCACACTAGCTTATATTGTTGTTCCATTATCAAGCCAAAACTACATCTCAGAACTGGGGAAATCACAAAAGAACATTATAGCTTACCTTTATATTGAAGCCAGCCTTTGCACTAGTTTCAATGAACATAACGTTTAAGTCATGAGAGACATATTGATGGATGGAGCCCCACCACACTAGCTTATATTGTTGTTCCATTATCAAGCCAAAACTACATCTCAGAACTGGGGAAATCACAAAAGAACATTATAGCTTACCTTTATATTGAAGCCAGCCTTTGCACTAGTTTCAATGAACATAACGTTTAAGTCATGAGCTTTGGCTTCTCCTTCCTCTATCGAAACTTGCCTACAAAATGACGAAAATTAAATACAACGAGGCTTACCCTATGTAGAAGCAACATGAACATTTCAAGTCATGTTCTAATATTGATTGCATGTATTATGTAAGAATCTAAGAATAGATAACCAACAATTTTTCATCCAATAACATTTAATTTCTTTGCACCTTGAATGCATGGTGACTAGTAATTAACCTTCTACCACAGGTGGGTGGTCTTCTGCAGAAAACAAAATAAGTTCCAAGTTGTGCATGCCTTATCCAGCAAGATCACCATGGGAATCAAAATTACAATTTGCTACATAAACCTCAAACTCTTACTCACGAATGAAAAGAATAACCCAATCTTGCCGTCCTAATGAGATCCCATAAAATCTAACTACAAAATAAAGGAAGCATAGCATCCGCTCTACTTTCATGCTATTTTCTAAATTCCTCTAGTTACTTTATCATCTGTACATTATTTGATCAATTATTCAGGCTAGCTTGATTAGTTTGTGAATTATACATTTCTTATGTGGCTATGATTAACCCATACACCATATTCCTCTCTCAAGTCAGTTAACTCATTAATTGTTAAGCTTCAAAGTCTATATTAGTACACTTGTGCTAATCAGAAGGAAAATTAGGAATGCCTCACTCCTGCACTGTTTCGAGGGATGGGGCAAACAAAATACAGAAGGGGCAACAAGAGCTCCAGTTGAGAAACATGCAACTTGATAGGAGGCGGCATGATGGTAAGTACAGGTTTGCTGAAAATATGGCTTTTATCTTTGAAGAAGATGTGTCGACATGTTTGTTACAGCTTATTTCACTTCACTTGAGCTGAAAATAGCTTAGATAAGCCATAAAACAATGCTTTTGGAAAGATGGTTGGGCAATTGCTTTGCAGACAAACTGCTTTTAGGAAGCTGCTTTAACTTTCAAAAAGATGCAGCACGCATGAGCTAAGTAGCCCTGCATTGCCTTGCCCCACCCTGGAAATGTGGAAATTTAAGGTTTCTCAACAGATTTTCTCACCCCAATCTCTCTCTTACCATCTTCTTCAAACAACTTTATTTAGGACTAACTAAGATCAAGACTTTCAATCATTCTCTCATGCCATATTCATCCAACCTAAAAAAAAACCAAAAAATAAGCCGAAAATAACTGCATTTTGAGACAACTATTATCTGTCATCAAGGTAGATAGATAGATATTTGACGAGAAAAGGCCAAAATCATTACCTCTTGTCCACAAGATCAGTTTTGTTCCCAACAAGGACAATGATAACATCACTGCCTCGCTCAGTGCGAACCTCCTCAATCCACTTGGAAGTGTTCAGGAATGATTGCCTGCCTAAACTCCAAAAAGGCGCGGTAAGTTAGTAAAATTATCTTAAAAATCACATCTATGATGATATATCTAGGAAGGACAAAGAGCAAGCAAGATCCTTGACAAATAAATTCTAATTTGGCATATCAAAGAAAGAAAATCCAAAATTACGAAGCTGGCAATAACCCATAGCATATTACTAGGCACATTTATTCATATGTGACTATATGAAATCCCCAACACCCTTTCTTTGGCTCTACATGAAATTAAATAGGTTTGATTTGATTTGTCAACAAATCAAACTGAATAAAGAAATGGACAATATACATACTTGCAACATCGTACACAATGACTGCAACAGAGGAATCCCTGATATAGCTGGGGATGAGACTCCTGAACCTTTCTTGTCCAGCAGTATCCCTGAATACACCAAACACAGTGGGATTAAAGCAAGTACAAAATGAAATATAACCAGAACGTGAATATACATGGTTAATGCAAACAAGTATTTTATTAGGTTTATGTCATTAAGGAATAAAGTACAGGATTCACCCTCATATACATTAAAATTTAAATTCAATATTGTTCTCTCTATCACCAAACAAGTAAAGACACTGTTAAAGTAGCTTGCGCACTCAAAATAAATGTTGATGACAGCAAAATCCATATCAAGCCCTTGGAAAACCATATTTTTTTTTGCATGATGATTGATAGAAGCAGCAGGTAAAAAACTTCCCACTATTTAAACCAGGAAGCTTTCTAACAGACCAGACAGAAAAAGTATAACCAAACAAAATTAAATGCAATGATGCGAATGTCCATAAAGGGTTTTGCGCTACCAGCCTATCACTGAATCAACACAATCTCACTAGAATCAGATTTGCGAATACATACCGAGTAAGGACCTAGATGTATAATACATTAGTAAGTGAACTAATGATGAAACTGACAGATGGAGGAAATTTTTTTGGTGTATTAGAACAGCTAAGAACAAAGTCTACTGATATATGTAGGAGTTCTGGAGAGAAAGGAAATGAGAGAAGTTTTTGAGAAGAGACAAGAAAAGAAGAGAAGAGCCTCCACTTCATTGGAAGTTTTATGATAGAAAAGAAAGGAAGGTGATAACCCTTCCTCTTCTTCAGAACTTCACAAGGAAAGAGGATAAAAAATAGGATGTTTTACGTTGTTAGTAGAAAAATCATGAAATAATTTCTAATAGAAACCGGAAGACAAAACTAGTAATCATTAACTCACTTTCTTTTCCCCTCGAATCTTGGATTGGAGGTGTGGGGGTGGGGAGGGGGACAAGTGGCCGGCCAAAGGACCATCAAATCCTTACACTTCTTTTCTCTTCCTTCTTTTTGAAAACTCCCAAACAAAGGATGTGCATTTCCTTTCCTTTCTTTCTCCCCCACTTTCTTCCATCAAACAGAGCATAAATTTAAGAAACACTAGTAAGGGTAGTGATGACAAAACAACAAGAACACAGGTCAAAAAAAATGAACCATGGAAATGGCCAAAAATGAGATGCTACTGTAAAGCACATTTGAATTCATGGAGTAGTTTATTTGAACAGCACTGTGTCTGATACATTGCATAATTCAAAATGTGGAAAAAATTTATAACTACTGGGTCAATCTGTACAGAATTGCACCTCAACTGGGCTTAGGCAAATCTAAATCTATGATCAATTCTTAGGACACCTATGCAGGATTGTACTAACAGAAGTGCAAAGTTTTTGAACGCATCCATGCATTTAAGTGTCAATTTTTTTTTTTATACGAAACCACATCTTACCAGAGCTGCAAACGCACTGTTCGATCTTCAAGGTACATTGTCTTTGACAGAAAATCGATTCCAATTGTAGCCTGAAATTTAAGATGCACATAAGATAGAGAAAATTTTGTATGAAGGGGAAAAGACAGAATGAATTCGTGAATTTAGGTTAAGTATCGAGATGTCACATAGATTCTACTTTGCGGGTGGAAGGGAAGGGCAAAAAAACTCTTTTCTCAATTTTTTCTCTCTTTTACCATAAAGAATAACCACAATCAATTGCTGTTTCGTAACAGAACTGATAGTCTCACAGAATAAACGTGAGTTCCAATCATTTAAAAAGGGAAAAACCAAGTCATTTAAAGTAACATTCTGTATTTTAACGCTCATTGTAGGCAATAAGAGATGCTGCCTTGATCTCTTTCACGAAAAAATAGCGAAAAAGAAATGCACAACTACACAGCTTATAACATGAAACCTTTTCTTATTGGCTACTTAAACAGGTAGAAGTACACCCGAAGTAAAATCCATTAACTAATCAAATTTCCAATGCGGAATATTGCACGAATAGAGAATGAAGCACTGTGTTTATAAATTTATAAAAAATGTTTATACCAGGATTACAAACATTTTTTCAGTCATGTCAAATAGTGTTAAGGAGTTCTGTGAAAATCTCCTCTTCGACTTAAAGGTGAAGCACAAACGACCCTTACCTTGTGAGCTAAATCTCCTCTTCAACTTAAAGGTGAAGCAAATAGACTTGTTTTTATTTATCATTACAAATTGACTTAAATTCATCACAAGGAGATCCGGTTGTTTTCACCACAAGTAAGTTCGAAGAGAAAGAAGGGATAAAAAAGACATTGAAAAATCAAGTGAAAAGAAGCCATTCCAACAACATCAAACTACATGGAAAAAAATCGTTGTCCTCTCTTTCTCGCTTTTCCTCTTCAACAAAACGCACACCATTCTCTTAACATCCAGATGATCTCATTATAAAAATTGCTGTATGAAAAGCCCATAATAAAAAGAAAACTAAGAAAAATTAATACCAAATGTTCTAACGAAGCAAACAAAATCATCAGAATAATTGAATATTGAAACGTAACGATTATCCAAAAACGCAACCAAAGAGGCCGAATTAATCAAATCGATACATGTAGCCACCATTCATAGAGAACAAGTAAACATATAACAGTAAAAATCTGGTGATTGGTTTAGTGATTACCTGGTATGTGTTGTCGAACTTATCGTACATGAATCGAGTGATGATGCTTGTCTTCCCTACTGATTGATCCCCCAAGAACACTAGCTTGTACTTCGCAAGAGCCGAAACCGGAGCCATCAATCGGATGTATCCAAATATTCAAGCAGATCAATTTGAGAAACGGATCAGACTAAAATTTTCACTCAGAATGATCGAGATCTTGCCGGAATGCACTCGCAGATTCGCCGTAGAAGTCGATGCGCGAGACTTGATCTGCCAACTGTACGTGTTTCTCTGCAGTATGCAGGTAAATTTGAGAGAGAAAGAAGGGGGGGGTTTGCGCGTGAATTGGTTTGAAGAGGAGGAGCTTCGGCGAAGCGAAACGGATCTATTTCCTGGCAGTGGCAGTGGCAGTGCAACGGAAACTATTATGAGTTGTTGCACGTGACGGGCAGTCGCTTTTAAAACAGAAAAAAAAAGAGACTATTTTAAATTTTATTTTTAATTCTATTGTCATACCGGTGATCGCAATGGTTTTTTTTTTTTGTTTCTTTTAATATGAGCGATAGATGACGTGCGTTGTAAGTAAATATATTTAAATAAAAAAATTTTAATAAAAAATTTAAATTATACTTATAATTTTATTAAATAATTAATTATTTTCCAAATAATTAATTTTTAATTTACTTATTGATTTTTTTTATCTATTTTTGAGTAGTTAATATATTATTTTTTTAGTTATTAAACCAACTACTTTATACATTTCCTCTTTTATTTATAATAAGATTTCATTGGAAGATTATTATTTATTTGCACATCTAAATATATTAAATATTTATTATTATTTTTTTTGCCAACAAGGTTAATTAAATTGTAAACTATTGTTTGTATTATAATATTATGATATTGTTGCAAATCAAAAAATTAAATATGATATATATTTGACTATAAAAGCTAATCTGATAACTACTTAATTGAATCCAAAAGAATTTAAAAGTCAATATGTATAGAAAATAAAATTTTGATGAAAATAAATATATTGGTAGAATTGAGTTTACAATAATAATTAAAAATAAATTAGGTAATCAAAAGTTTTTCTTAATGTAGATATTTAAAAGTAGTATAGATAATATTCAATAAAACCCGTTTAATTTATTTACGCCCATTACGATTTTTAAGTCCCATTCTACTTTTCTTAAAGAGTACTTGTTTTTTCAAAATAATAGTTTAAGTCATTGATCTCAAATGTATGAAAAAAATAATTTATTTGAACAATTACGATTTAGATCATGATGTCGAATCGAGTACGTAAAACCGTATTGTTTAGAGTCTAGTTAGGCTTTGGTATACCCGCAATTGGAAAATAGGCCAAACAACTCGACTTTTGTTTGGTTTAATACGTTAAAATAAAATAAACTTGTGTTGAACAAACTTATTTTTTTATTTTTTCTCAAACAAAATTGAACTTCACACACTCAAGATTTTCTTGACTATTGTAGATGAATTGTTTTAGAATTGAAAGAATTATATTTCACAATTAGGGGTGTTAATTTAGCCGAATTTTTCGAACTTAGCTATATTCAAGCTCGTCTCATGCAATTTAAGGAGTGCTTAAGCTCAACTCGGGCTCGTCTATGGAGCAAAATATATTGTTCAAGATCAACTCAAACCTTATTCGAGCCAAAAACATAACATTAAAATAAATTAAACCCACAAATTTCAAATACTCAATCAAAATATTTCACAAAAATACACACAAAAAATCTGAGCATAAAAATACCTCTAAATCAAAATAAACATATACAATCTTAAATTTATATGTCTCACATACAAACTTAAAATTATTTCTAATTTTATTGAAATAACCTTAAGATTTGTAATAATTTATATGTATATTTTGTACAAGGATGAAAAACGAATCTGTTTGCAAATAGTCTAGGCTTGGCTCAATTGGATCGAATATTAAATGAGTCTAAAAATTTGTTTAGATTTGATTCATTTTAAAATATGAGTGAGTCCAAGCCGAGCTCAAGCTACTCACGAGCCCCCCAATCATCTAACAGCCATATTCACAATGTTAATTCCCTAATTCTGCCATGTAGTAAAGTAGAAAGAGAGAAAGAAGATAAGGTTTGTAGTGATTCGGTCAATATAACCTATGTCCATTTTGAATTGAAAAGGTCGCAAAAATTTTATTATCTCCGGTGTGGAGGGAGAGCACAAAATTACAAGTTTTGAGAGGGAATGAGAGAATTATGCTCAAATGAATCTGATGCCCCCAAGTGTTAGTGGAGTTTACAATTTATAGTAGCTTAGTGTAGTAATTGAATAGCTAGTTTGACGGTCATAACGGGTTGAGGCCGTTTAATAGTCATAACAAATTGGAGTGACTTTAACAATGATTAAATAGCTCGACGACCACTCATCTCCTAAACGGGTAAGGGAGTTATGATGCTCTCCAAAAGACTTGATCAAAAGATGAAAGAAGATTGACTCTCTCTAAGCGGTGAGGGTGAGGCACCTAGATGCTCCCTTGGTGGCGTAGAGGAGACTGTTGGATGACTTTTACTCCAAGGTGGTAGAAGAGACTTTTTGATGACCTTGCATACTCCATGCTGATGTTGCTCTTTGATTCTTGATTGTCTTGGTTAATCGCATTGAGCTTGACTTGTTGGATCTCATGGAGATGGACTATAAACTTGAATCGGGCTTATAATTTAAGCTAGACCCTTGGGCTTTGGCTCATCATTTGTCCCCCAATGTCTTATATCTAACGGAACTTAAAAAGAAGGACATTCAGTTTAAGTTTAAATTTTTGACTGACCGGTTCAATTGGAAAAAATTTGAGAGGCCAAAACATCTATTTATAGGCTTTTTTTGAACTTTTGACAACATCAATCACAGTCATAGGTTGTGAGTCTTGTAGAGCTCGTCGAGAGTTTTGATTTGATATATTATAAGCCTCATTTGAAGTAACGGAGCAAAAATTACGATTAAAACTTCGAACAGAGAGTTAGATAGGCAATTTAGGCGAGCAGGGCACTGTTATGAGCGAGCAGCACTGTTCTGGGTGAGCAAAATTTTTATTTATTTATTTTTTTAAAAAAAAACCTCAGAAGACCAAAATATTTCTTTCTAGGCCTTTTTTGGATTTTTTTTTTGCTCAGCTCGTCGAACATTTCAATTTGGTATATAATAAATCCTATTTTGAATTTTGGATCAAGAGTTACGGTCAAAATAGCATGCAGGGGCTGAGTGCATGGTTTTGGGCGAGTAGATAGCCTCCTGGGCGAGCTGAATTTTTTTTTTTTAAAAAATTTTGGGAGGCAAAAACACTTCTTTCTGGGCCTTTTTTAGACTTTTTACAGCGTCTATCGTTGTCTCAGGCAGTGACTTTTGTGAGGCTTGCCAAGAGTTTTGATTTGATAAATAATAAGTTTCATTTAGAGTTTTGGATCAAAAATTACGGTTAAAATAACATACAACCCTTTTTAAATTCGAATTTTTGGAAAACTCCTCTTGATCGGCGACCCCATCTCTTCCAGTAGACTCTTTTTACTTGTAGGACTCCATTGACTGTATAAACTCCTTATTTCACTTTCCTTTTGGATTTTTGAAGAGATTGTTGTTGTTCCCGGAGAAGAAGATCAGAGAGCTGAGAGGAGTGATTTAGGGGAACGGCCTGCTGTGCACACGTCTGGAGTGTGTAAGGAGGAGGCATTGGGCACCCAGGCTGTGGCGAGCCCAATTGGGCAAGAGAGGGAGGCGTGCAGGTGTATGGGCTTGCCTCGGGTGCCACTAGTGTGCAAGCTTGGCGCGCTGTGGAGAGGCAAGCAGGCCAGGTGAGCGGGGTTGTTGCATCGACGATCTATGTTGGGAGAACAGGCTGGGTGCCTTGGCAGTCTTGTCAAATGGGAGTTTATGGAGGGCCCTTGCGCAAGAGCTGGGTGTTGAGGAAGTCAAAATTGAGATAACGACCCATGTCACAGGAACTGAGATGAGGGGTGTCGGCATGGGGGTGCCGTTGGCATGAGGCCTTGACTATGAGACGCTATGGTGTCAGGTGGGATGCCCTATGCGTTGGGTGCTGATGGAGAGGCGCCCATGCTGTTGGGCACTCTGCAGAGGCCTTTATGGTGATGGGCGCTGCTGGAGAGGAGCCCATGGTACTGGGTGCCGTTGGCTGACAATTTTGTTAATCACTATGGAGGAGTGCTGTTTGGAGGCACGCGCAAGTAGAGCTTGTTTGCGCTAGATGTTAAGCGTAGGGTGTTGCGGTAACGAGACAACGGTGCCAGATGGACACAAAAGAATGAAGTCCGATTGTTGACATTAATTTAATATAGTCCCTCGGATTGCAGACGACCTGAGTTTCAAAAGCCTAACTAGAGATGGCAAAAAGAATGTTATTTCAAATATTAAAATATCTAACATAATTACCTGGAGAGAGAGGTAGACTGCTTGAGCGAGAGTAAAGACAGAGTTTGAGGATTGCCTGTGAGAGAGCTAAACCTTTTGAGACCGAGCTTTTGGCGACCCATGAGAGAATCCTTAAGTTTGAGGTATAAGCTGCTTGCATGAGAGCAGAGCAAATGTCAAGCTTTTGGAGACTTGCGAGAGAGCCGCTCAGCTGGAGATAGGTTGTCTGCTTAAGAATAGAGCAGAGGTCAAGTTTTTTACAACCCGCAGAAGAGTCGCTCAGTTGGAGATAGACTACTTATTTGAGAACACGGCAAAGACCAAGCTTTTGTTGACACACGAGAGAGCCACTAAGCTGGAGATAGGCTACCTGTTGAGAACAGTGTAGAGGCAAGTCAAGCTTTTGGCGATCCTCGAGATGATTCACCTCGCCTAGACCTGTTGATTTTCTCATCATTCATGTATTTTTAAGCTTTTGCCAATAATTCTGGCATGCTTTTTGGTGGTCGCTTCATTGCTGAAAAGAGGAAATTCGATGAGTGGAGGCCTCCTAGAAAGGAAGTCATGGTGACTTTGTCATGGACTCCCTGATTTGGAGGACCTCCTCGTTAAAATGAGTGAGGTAACTCTTTAGACTCTCATCTCGATCCTATTTTATGCAGAGTAGATGGGTGGTAGGTTTTTATTAGCGGCGTTCACCAATAAACTGGGTCACAAAGGATTTGCTCAGTTCGACGAAGGAACCTATGGAAGCCGGAGTAAGTTAGACGAACCATTGTCGCTCTGATCCCTTCAAGGTAGTTGAGAATGCCCTACACATAATTTTATCAGGACGTTGTGCCGCTGCATTAAGGTCTTAAAAGTTTCGAGGTGGTCTAGTGGAATCCTTCGTACCGTCAAAGGATTTGATGGATGGCATCTTAAAAATTTTGAGGGAGTGGATAGT